ATTGGGTCCAAAACACCCTCTCTTCCCCACCCCACCCCCTTTTTTTTTTTAAGCTTCATTCCCAACACATCTGGTTCTTGTCCCAGGCAGACCAAGGAAACTTGGAGATAGGCAAAAGTGAAAGCTGGTTGTTTTGAAATTTAACTCAAGTTTTTCTGAACATCAAGAAAGGTTCAAGCTCAGGTTTCAAGCAGCAGCTTGTGGTTTGGCTTGAAGTAGTCTCTTCTAGTTCAGAACTACTGTAAATACACCACTGTGGCATACTTCTTCCTTTAGGAAATGGGGGCCCATTCACAAGTGAATTTAATCTGTTTTTAGCCTATTGAAAGGCTCCTTAGAAAATGGTGAGTAGAGGCTGGGGACTAGTAGAACTTTCTAAAGAAATACTTTCTGAAAACATCACCCAGTCTTATTCCAGCAAGGTGGCTTTACTTTTTCTAGGCCCACTCCTTCCTAAGAGACATAATTCCACTCTAACCAGCATAGCAGAGCCATAGGTTTTGAAGAAAAGAGTTAAGGAGCTTTTTCTACAGCTGAGATGAGGTCCCATCCTCCCAAAGGCCCCCAGTAATACCAGGTGCCACACCTATATTAGAGGTGCACATGCCCCTCATGTGTGCCCCCACACTCCGTAACTCAGTGAGTCTGTCCTGAAGCCCAGCAGCATCTTTTGTTTGCCAGGGATCCTTCCCAGCTCTTCCCACATGTCCCAGACCTACAGAGAGGACTCACCTTTCTTCTTCCTGGCAGGAGGAAAGCTGGGCCATCATTCTGATTGCACCTGCCACTTGTTCCATGTCAGCTACAAGGAAACTCCTGTTAGGAATAGCTAAGAAGCACCATCAGGAGGGAACTGCAGCCAGCCCTACTTTTAAAGATTTCTGTATCCCTCTGCTAGAACCTTAGAGAGAAGAAAATACTCTTTTTATTCCTTCCCATTTAGAAAGGTGGAGGGACGTGGCCATGTTGTCCTTGGCTGGCAAAGCCTGAGATTCACAGGTGTGGCTGTAAAAGCTGGTGCTGATGCAGCACCTGGGCTCTGCCTCACTCCAGCCCCCACAACAGGGCAGGCTAATCAAGACGAATTGTTCCTTAAGGAACACCTGGAGGTCCAAATGATTAGCTCAGCAGGGCTTCAGTTAAATGCAAGGACACGGGTGTATTTTTTTTGTGAGTTAGGGGCTACCAGGCTCTGGAAGCAGCTCCAGGTGTTGTTGGGAGTTTAACTTTGGAAATTGCTCTTCACTTCAATACCTGCTGAACAGCAGGGTTGTGTTCAGAGCTGCCCCTGACCTCTGGTGAGTTCTCAAAGGAGCCCAAGGGTGCTAATAGCTGAGAATGGGATTGTTTGAATAACGTCCTTGTGGCTGAAGAAGCCTGAAAGATCAGGACATAGTAACCCCACAGGTCAAGCTCCAGCCAGCAGAAGACAGTGACTTTCAGCTCAGGACAGGAAAGTAGTGCAAGAGGATTAGTGGGGAGGCAGGCTGGTAGAGGTCTTGAGAGCTGGCAGGGTTAGAAGGTGGTGTGGAGGAACCCTCTGTTCCCCGATGCCCTGAGGCACTGGGTTAGCAGGTGTTGATACATTCATTGTCATCATTAAATTAAATAAAGCACAGCAAAGGGGTTTGTATGTTTTATTTCTGGCAGTCCTTGGGAGTGCAATCCTTTTATTCCTCAGTCTGAGTATTTAGAGTGAAACCTGTTAGGGGCTAGAGCAGGGGTAGGCAAAATGCAGCCCGCCAGGCCATTCTATCCAGCTTGCGGGGCCCCTAAATATAAATTTTCTAATTTTTTTTTTTTTTTTT